GTTTAGTCACGTACTATAAAAGCAACGGTGCGCCACAAAGTCCACTTCATATGTGGCTGTTGCTGCTACCGTTGCATCTGCTGCTTCACTTGCTCCAACCCCAACATCACCTGCTGCTGCTGCTGCTGCTGCTGCTGCTGCTGCTGCTTACAGGACATGCCTCCCTTCACAGTTCACAGCGCTTCTCTTCGCTTTTGCTTCGATGAATTGCAAAGACCCACAGGCTGGCAAATAGAGGAGGTGATGCACCATTTGCTGCTGCTGCTGCTGCTGCTGCTGCTGGTGCTACTGTTGCTGCTGCTTCGGCTTCTGCATTTGCTGCTGCTTTTCCTGCTGCGTTTGCAGCTTCTGCTGCTGCTTCTTCCGGTGCTGATGCTGCTGCTGCTTCTGGTGCTGATATTGCTGCTGCTTCTGCTGCTTTTGCTGCTTCTACTCCGGCTGCTGCTGCTTCTGCTGATGCTGCTGCTGCTTCTGCTGCTGCCGTTGCTGCTGACGGGTCTGTCATGCTGCTGCTTGTATATGGCTTTCAAGAAGCGCTGAAGTTTCCGAAGCGTCCATATCAGGGCTTGGGGTGCTTACTAATCAGGGTTTAGGGTTTAGGGTTTAGGGTTTAGGGTTTTGGCGCAGCACAGTCGCTCTCACGAAATGATTGAAGAGATGATGCTGCTGGCGAACAGACTTGTTGCCACTTACCTCCGCAGCAGCAGATTTCAAGGCAAGTAACTGCAGGCAGCAGCAGCAGCAGCAGGAGCAACAGCAGGAGCAACAGCAGCAGCAGCAGCAGTAGCAGCAGCAGCAGCAGTACCAGCTGATATGGAGCGGTTCAGACAGTTCTTCTTAAACTGGTTTTTTCGGGGAGGGCAGCATGAACACTCTGGGTTTAGGGTTTAGGGTTTAGGGTTTAGGGTTTAGGGTTTAGGGTTTAGGGTTTAGGGTTTAGGGTTTGTGCAGATTCGGCGGTGATGCGTTACCACGCTCCTTTCAAGCAGGAGCCTCGCTTCAACGTGTTTCTGAGCAGTTTGAAGTGAGCTGCAGCAGCAGCAGCAGCAATAGCAGCAGCAGGAGCCGCAGCAGCAATAGTGGCAGCAGCAGCAATAGCAGCCGCACCAGCAGCAGCAGCTGGAGGGTTGCGTGAAGAGGATAGAGCGGCTACTTGGTTTTGCTTTGCTGCAGAAGTTTGGTGGGAGTGGCTCTAAGGTTTATTCCTGCTGCTGCTGCTGCTGCTGCTGCTGTTTGGTTTGCTGCAGAAGTTTGGTGAAAGTGCCTCTGAGGTTTTCCTCTGCTGCTGCTGCTGCAGAGACACTGCAGCAAATTCGGGGAGAGTGTGGGGCAGCAGCTGGGGTGTCTGTGGAGGTGCAGCTGCGGACTTTTCTGTCTTTGGCGAAGTACAAAACTGCAAAAAGTTTAAAAGAATTAAATGTTTTGAAGTGCCACTTCGCCCTCAACTTCGACAACTACACCCACTTCACTTCGCCCATCAGGTGTACAGACACCTCGGGGTGTACGTGCACCTCCCGGTGTACATACACCTCAGAAGCAGCTTTTTAGAATTAAATGGAAAAGTATTTGTTTGTTTCTTTTAATTGATTTAATTTAAATTAAATTAATTCAAATTAATTCAAATTAAATTAATTCAAATTGAATTAATTTAAATCAAATTAATTCAAATTAAATTAATTTAATTTGAAAAAAGATTTTAAAAGTTAAAAGCTCGAATCGGAATTGGCGTCGGTAAAACAGTAATTAGCGAAATGCCAAAAGACACTCCAGAAAACAAATAAATAACAAATGAATAAAAAAAAATAAAAATAGTGAATAAGTAAATAAAAACAAATAAATAAAAACAAATAAATAAATAAAAAGTAAATAAAAACAAACAAATTAAAAAAATAAATAAAATAAATAAATAAGTAAATATAAATTTCATCTGCTGCAGAACTGCGCCGCCTCGTGTAGAACTAGCAAAGACGACAAAAGGCACTTTAAAAACAGCAAAGAAACAAATAATAAATAAACAAATTAAATAAATAAATAGTAAATACATAAACAAACAAATAAATAAATAAGAAAATAATAAATAAATAATAAATAAATAATAAATAAATAATAAATTTAAAATGCAAATTTGCTGCAGGCGGTATCCGGACTTGCTGGTCCACAGGAGCCTCGCGGCGTTAATTGAGGGAAAGCAAAAGCCCCCTTTGGATGTTGTCAGTTTCAATTAAATAATTTAATTTAATTTATTTATTTTAATTTAATTTAATGGATTTAATTTAATTTATTTAATTCATTTAACTCAATTAATTCAATTAGTTTGATTTAATTCAGTTGGTTTAATTTAGTTAGTTTGGTTTGGTTTGAGTTGAGTTGTGCACTTTTTTGGATTTGTTTGGCTTTGGAATTAGCGGAGTCTATTTCATAATGTTCATTTATTTGCTATTTATTTATTTATTTATTTATTTGCTATTTATTTACCTATTTATTCGTTATTTATTTATTT